ACTGAACTATAAGTTCCATAAAGCAAGAACTTACTTGGTCATTGTTATAGCCATATCACAACGTCTTAGTAAATAAAAGCTATTCCATTAATATTTGTTGAATGAGGTATTATAAATATTTTTTTTTTCCAAAAGAAGCCTCCTCTTGGCTGGGTGTGGCAGTGCCCACCTGTAGTTCTAGCTACTGCAGAGGCTGAAGTGGGAAAATCATGCAAGCCCAGATGTTTAAGACCAGCGTAGGCAACGTAACAAAATCCTGTCTGGAAAGAAGAAAGGAAAGGAAAAAAGGTCCCCTCTTAACTATCAATCAGCTTTGTCCCTTCTTCAAACTGTTGCAGAGACTTACCTCTTAATCAGCTGTGATTGCTTTCAAGTCGGCCTGTCCTTACCTTATTAGTTTGTAGAATTCTTGCATGAAATGCAGCTGGCCAGGCATGAAGCAACAGGTAAGCATAGGAGCGAATGGCATACACTGGGGAATATTCCCAAGTTTGAAACCCCTTTCCGTAGATGAGGTAGTGTGTCTACAAGTACAAACAGACAGATTCAGGATTATATTGACCAAAAATCTCTCTTAAGAGGATACACATAAAGTTTCTGAGTAAAAATATTAAAGAGACAAAGGTACACCAAAAATGCAAAATTCTCAACATCTGAAACCAGTGGATCAGAATCAAAATGACCCAATATTTAAAATATTAAGAGCCAGGCATGGTGGCGCATGCCCATAATCCCAGCAACTTGGGAGGCTGAGGGAGGAGGATTCCAAGTTCAAAGCCAGCCTTAGCAACTTATCAAGGCCCTGAGCAACTTAGCAAGACCCTATCTCAAAATAAAAATTAAAATTAGAAAAAGGGTTGAGGATGTGGCTCAGTGGTAAAGAACCTCTGGGTTCAATCCCTGGTACCAAAAAAAATTTTTTAAATAAAAATAAAATATTATGATATAAATTCTACAAGATTGCTGCTTAGTCAACACCGAAAGTTTAAATTTTACTCCTATTTTTTTTAGTAGTCTTTAGGCAACATAGACAAATTCTAAATCTTTTTTTTTTTTTTTGTAGTTGTAGATGGACAGAATGCCTTTTATTTTTATGCAGTGCTAAGGACCGAACCCAGAGCCTCACAAGTGCTAGACAAGTGCTGTGCCACTGAACTTCAGCCCAGCCCAAATTCTAAATCCTACACTTTCCTTACTATCCACACTAACCATCCTTTCTCCATTTTTTGATGCAAAATATGATCAGAAAATTTTACTTGTGAATTTTCTAAAAAAAGAAGCCACAGGTAATGTATAAATATATAAATCAAAAAACAGCATTATTCAATGGATCGATGGACAAAGAAAATGTGGTAGCTATAAAAATGGATTTTTATGCAGCCAGAAAAAAATAGAATTCAATCATTTGCAGGAAAATGAATGGAACTGGAGAGCATCGTGTTAGGCAAAATAAGTCAAATCCAGAAGGTCAAGGGTCAATGTATTTTGTCATGGAAGCTAGAGAGAACAAGGGGATAAAAAGGATCTTGTGAAAATATAAGGGAGACCAACAGAATAGAGGAAGGAGACAGGATGTGAGGAGGGGAGGTAAAGGGGAGGAACTAGGAAGTAAAATTGACCAAATTATGTTAAGTGTAAGTACGGAAATCTCTATTATATATAATTATAATGAACCAATAAAATATTTGTGAAAAAGGGGGAAAAAAGAAACAGCACTGTAAGCATATTATTTAGTAACAGTTTATTTTGGTACATCAGAAGAAATAACTAAAAAGATTGAAAGAAAGTGAATGCCTATAGGAAGTGGAACTTGGACATAAGAAGTAGAATAAGGAGCTGTTTTTCCTCCGAGTTTTGTAGTAATTGTTAACTATAAAAACAATGTCCAAGTATTATTTTAAGAAAACATTTATTTTTTTTAATATTTATTTTATAGTTGTAGTTGGACACAATACCTTTATTTAACTCATTTATTTTTTATGTGGTGCTGATAATCGAACCCAGAGTCCCGCATGAGACAAGTGCTCTACGGCTGGGCCCCAACCCCAGCCCAAGAAAACATTTAAAAGGTAATTTCAAATAACACTTCTGAGTAAAACACTGAAATTTCCTCCATCTTCAATAGTAGATAAGTCAAGTTTTTAGGCTACAAGAGTGAAAAGCTATTGTTCTAGTCGTCACACTTGTATCTTGATTGTAATAAGAACCCAGCAGCAAAATCAGGAACAAAACCCAAAAACTAAAGGAATCACCTACTGGTTCCCAGTAGTTGAATGTTTCATCGCAGTCAGAGATGTTGCTCAGGAGAGCAGCACATAACCTTGCTGAGAGCAGACACTTGAAAGCAGTAGATCCTTCAGGTGCCCAGACCTGTCCTGCTTTGTTTCCAGATAACCTGCTTAGAAGCAAAGAACAAAACAAACAATAAAAAGCATGTGTCAGGAAGGACCTACTAACCAAAAGGACTAAAATTAGGACAAGAAAGGCAAGGGAGATCAAAGCACTTAAGTCATTCACCTAAGAAGGTGAACCGTTTGTTGTTCTGAGTAGAATGTGTAAGGAATTAAGGCTTTAATCACTCCTTCAACTTTGTTTTTAAGGCATAAGTTCATTCATACACTTTATTTTGTTGCAACTTCAACACTTCATCTCAAACCAACTACTCACTCACTTTAAGGCCTCTAAGCTGTCATTCTCCTTTTCTTTCTTTCCTTAACAAGGTCATTACTTTCCATGGCTCTATTCATTTTCCCATGTGTTCAAATGAATAGAGGCCTAATATGTGCAAGGTCCATGACCTCTTCGAATTCCACGTGTTGACAGTTCCTAGCCTGCAGTCTCCTGGCTTGGGGAGAGGTGGCTGCAGGTGCTGGAGGCTGGGGGGGCCCACGCAGAAGAGTAAAGGGGGCCTTCGGGGAGAATAAGAGAAGCTGTGAGAAACAGCCTTAAAAAGCATACTCTTTGATCCTGCCAACATCTCCCACAGCTCTGCCAACTCAAGACTAAGAAGCCTGCCCACTCTGGGCCTGGGCCAGAGCGTCACAGACCCGCATTCTCAAGGTTTCTAAACTAGACAAGGATCCCGAGGTGTAGAGACCTAAGGCATAGCAAAAACCGAACTCGGAAGCCGACCCGCCCGAAAGAGTGGAAGCACCAGGCTGGAGGGGCCCGGGCCTCGCAGAGGGAGGCCGCGCGGGTGAAATCCTCCAGAGTAGCCCCGACAGCGCCGGCGGCCGGCCACGCCCCCGCCGCTCCCGCAGACGTACTCCGGCCGGTGCTCTGCGCTTCCCGGATCTCGGCTGCCCAGCAGTTCCCGCAACTTGTCCGCGGCTGATGCCGTTTCCCCGCCGCTGCCGCCACCGCCCTTCAGGCGCTGCCGACCCCCTCGGCTAGCCATGACAAGAGAAGGGGCTAAAAAGGTAGAATTCAACACGCTACGAAGTCGGCCAGAGCGCACACATAGCTTGGCTGGCAAACGGTGTCCGCCGAGGGACAAAAGACCTTGACATGCGCAGAAAAGACTAAATTATAATGTTACTGGCCAATTGGGGCAAATTCCTTAGAAAATTAATAGGATCTTTCCCCATCATGGCTATCCCTTCCTCCTTCCAGCCCTGGCAGTCCCCCCCACTTTAACATTCCTCTTCAAATTTCAGCATTCTTTCTACATACAAAAATCTGTCCTTCAGTTACCCTAATTAAATGAAAGCACAAATACAAAGTGATTAACCGACCTGGAAAGTGAGTTGTGCAGAGAATTCAGTTAAAGATCACAGCACAACTGTCTATCACAGGAAAGGTCCCTAACCGCTCACTTTAACACCTTGCCCTCTCTGTATTTTGGTGATAGTAACAGAGCTAGTAGCTAATAAATGACTGCTTTTAGAGACACAAAACAGTAATGCCAGAATATGAACTGAGAAGTAAAAGACTTATGAAATTCTGTGGAGCAAATTTAACCAAACACAAGTCATTGTCATTAGGTAAAATGACTACTATGATGCCGTAGTACTATTTTATCCTTTTATAATTTCTCACAATCTTGCTTTATTGAGAAAGAAATTATTTCTTCTCAATAAAGAAGGAAACCTTGCTTTATTGAGAAGGAAATTAAATGTTCCACAGCTAGCAAATGGTGGAGTTATATTCCAACTGTTGACTGAACTGACTACAAACCTATGTCCTTTCCACCAGATCAAGGCAAAGTGCTTGACTTAACAGCATTTTTACAAAGGCACATTGCTGATAACATATCTGCAACTCTCAGTGATCATTCATCTAATCCTAACACTGTCCATTCTCCAATCTCAGCATCTCTGTCCTGCCCTGTGGAGGTTTGTAACAGTAAGTTAAATAGTTTACATAGGACGTGCTGAACTTGATAGGGCCCCAGAAGATCATGATTATAATGAAACTTCTCAGTATTAAAAAATGGAGATTGATCATATTGTTCAATTCCCACATGCAGTCCTGAGTTAACAAGGTCAAATATCCAACTTGGATATATCTAATATATCTGTTTCCTATTGAAAGTAGTAACAGAAAATAACAGAAAGAACATGTCGTTAGAGTCAAACCCAAATGTTAACCATAATCTGATACTTACTAGCTCCATGACTTTCATAATGGTCAACCACAAAAGAAATACAATAAGAGAAGCTATGAGAAATAGCCTTAAAAAGCATACAATGATACAATGATAATACAATGATAATAATGCCAATTACAGGGCTGGGGTTGTGGCTCAGTGGCAGAGTACTTCCCTCCCACGTGTGAGGCACTGGGTTTGATCCTCAGTACCACATAAAAATGAATAAACAAAATAAAGATATTGCCCATGTATAACTAAAAGAATATGTTTTAAAAAATATGTTATTTAAAAAATAAGTTACAACTTACCAACCTAAGAGATGTTGATCTAACTCCCAAAAACACTCTCATAAATTGATTTAGTGAGATGATAAATAGAGTTAAGGGAAGAGAACTGACAATGTGGAAAATATATTTATGAATATATTTGATAAGACATCCAAATTCTACTGCCTCTTCAGCAATAGAGCATCTGAAGTACAAAATACTGTTTTATTTGTTGTCTTATTCATTACTCCAGACAAAAATAACACACAATTCCAAGGGTCACTGATCATATTACAGTCTAAAAATTTAAATGATGAGTCACAGATTATCTTTAAGGTCAACCAACAATGATAGAGTCACAAAGAACATGATATTACAATATAAAACACAGTCCAGAAAAGACAACTAGTTATAAGTTGTTCTTTTTATTTTTTTCCCCCCTTACAGTATTGGGGAATAAACTCAATGCCTTGGGCATGCCAGGAAAGCACTCTACCACTGAGCTACATCCCTTGTCCAAGTTGTTGTTTTTTAACCACACCAACAAAGGATCATACTATAAAAATGAATTTACTAAACTATCGAGGTATAACATGTAGCTGTTGTTGAATCTCCTTCCTAAATTGGGACTGCATTGATGCTACCTGCTGCTGGGTGAGGGCTTTATCACAGGTCTGGTAGGTCAATCTATAGCAGAGACTGACCTGCTCAGTCTTTGGATGATGAAAACGACCAAGGAATTGTATGGATATAATAGTGTCCTGGGACACTGCTCGAGCCACAGTGTGAAACTCTAGTTCATCAAATCCTTTCTCCTCATTTAACCAAAAACTAATATCATGTACATAACATGGAGGATACAGGGAATAACTCTTAAAGGGTTCTATTTCTCCAGGAACAAACTTTTTCATGAAACGGTTATCAAAGGTCCACAACATTCTCCAATCAGCGATACCCCAAGTAAGCATGGCTAATAAGTCCAAGTTTATAGACACAAACACAAAATACTGGTCTTTATGTGTTATGTTTGCAGCAGATGAGGTGACAGATCCAATGATCAGATCCTTGGCACAATCTGGACCAAAATTATGAGACTTCACGTGAATCATATAATTGTTTGCATTCAGTTGAGGGACAAATTCCACTGAACTGCTCAGCATTGATCCCTCTGGCAATGTCTGGGTCAGGAAGCTATCTAGAATTCCTGTCAGGTGATTCAGCAGTGACGGAAGACAGCCATCCTTCAGACTTTGATTAAACCCAAGGATTAATAAAGTCTCATGAAACGCCGGCATCGTGAAAGGCAAAATGTGACATTTCCGAAAAACAGGTCCACTGAGGATATACAAAGAACCCGGGAGGAAGTCTGGTGCTTGGATAATGGCCTGAACATGAACTAGAAGAGAAGATCTAAGCCAGACTTTGGCTTGTCCAGAGATTCCTTCATGAACTTCTTTGCCATCTCTTCTAGGACTCTTGTAAATGCTAAATTGTGAAAATGACACAAGAAAGTCCTCCATTTCTTTTGTTATTTCACCATTTAGGAACTCAGAATCTGAGTTATCTTCATGGAGATTGATCCAAAAGGAAGACATACTGTCACAATTCCAGGAAGGGAGAACACTGGTACCTTCCAGTGGCAGCAAAGGGAAGGAACACTTCAGCCTTTTAAGAGGGAAAATTTTGCCCAATTCAACAATGAGTTTCTCATTTATGATTTTGATAGGATGACAAGAAGATGCTTCCAGGAAACCCCTATTTAAAGACACACACAAAAAAACAGCTTTTCTCACTTAAAATAATAATTATAATATAGCTAGAATTGAAAGCACAAATGGTTATGCAGAAAAGAATTATCTTTGCCGTGCACAGTGATGCACACCTGTAATCCCATCAATTTGGGAGGCTGAGGCAGGAGGATCACAAGTTCAAAGTCAGCCTCAGCAACTTAGCAAGGCCCTAAGCAATTCAGTGAAAACTTGTCTCTAAATAAAACATAAAAAAGGGGGACTGGGGTTATGAAACAGCGGTAGAGCGCTTGCCTAGCACGTGCGAGGCCCTGGGTTCGATCCTCAGCACTACATATAAATAAATAAATAATAAAAGTAATATGTCAAACTACAACTAAAAAATAAATACTAAAAAAAAAAAAAAGAAAGGGCTGGGGATGCTGGGGATGTGGCTCAGTAGTTAAGTGCCCCAGTACCAAAAAAAGAAAAGAATTATCCTTAAGTTTACCCTGAAAGGAAACAAAGAAATGGTCTACCATAAAGAGAACTATCACAGAGGATTTTTGGTCTTTTTTGTTTGTTTGTTTCCAGTTCTGGCTATCAAACCCAGAGTCTCACAAATGATAGGTAAGAGCTTTGACCATGAACTACACTGCTAGCACAGGAGAGATAACATGTATTCCAGAATTCTGGCAGCCACCACCCCTACAATATGCCCTAGTGACAAGCATTCACAGCACAACCTCATTAACAGTTTATATACCATCTATTCAAAATATGATTGCCACCAAGATAATTAGGATACAATTAGAAATGGAAGTGATTTCCAGCAAAATAATAAGTTACCTGTTCAACTTTCCTGCAAGTGCTTTTGGTTCTGAAAAGGAAAACCACTGGTCTCCCAGTTTTATACTGAAGACTCTGGGCTGAGAACCTTCAAAAGGTAGGCTCCGGGTAAAGATATGATTCAAAGCACCTTCTATGTGAAAGGACTTATCTTGACTCCTGGCAGAAAAGACATTAATATGAAATCTATCATTATTAAAGAAAGCAAGTATTTCTAATATTTCTAGAGACTGGATTGGGAAATTGGCAGGGGAAATCTCTATAGTATTTCTTGTCATTAGTGAGAGAGATGAACAAGGAAAAGGCCTAGGTACTTACCTATATCCAGTGCATTTGTATCCTGGCACAGCCTCACACCTGAAGGGAAGCACATCACTTAAAATGAGGCCCCCAAGAGCAGCCATGGCAACCACTTGCCAACTGTTGTGCCATTCTCTCTGGGGCTTATCAGCAGAAGTTCCACCTTGTCCTCTACACAATGCCACATGCACTTCTCCTTCCTCTGCAAGAACATCTACACAGCTTGTACAGGGGAAAAAAAAAACAAACAGAAATTTATCAGAAACAAGTAGAAATTACCATAAGGGCAGTAATATACACATAGCTTAGCCTTGAAATAATTAAAACCCAATCATACTTGCAAGGTCTGCTAAACCTCAAACATACAAGAACAATGTAGTCAAATGCCTTTTAACAACATTCATCATCTGCTATGCATTTGTGTTGTTCATTAATATGTCAGAGAAAGTTCAATATTTGCAAAGTTCCTATACATGATTCACTGCTTGGGCTGTTTCTTCCCATTTAGAAATTTTTTTCACTGCCTTCTGCCTATCAAAATTCTATAATACTTTGCTGGGCGCAGGGACACAACCTGTAATCCCAGTAATTTAGGCGGCTGAGGCAGGAGGATTCCAAGTTCAAGGCCAGCCTCAGCAACTTAGGAGGCCCTAAGCAATTTGGCAAGACCCTGACTCAAAATTTAAAATAAAAAGTACTGAGCATGTAGCTCAATAGTAAAGTGTCCCTGGGTTCAATCGCCAGTACCCAAAGGAAAAAAAACAAAACTATAAATTCTAGTATGATTTTAAACTCAATAATTTTATAAGGCAGTTACCTTTAGTATCCTCAGTTTATAAAGAGAAAATATAAGTACCTAATGGAATAAGTATTTGCCTATAATCGTCAACTGTTAAGTGGTGGGCCAGATTTGAATCCAGGCAGTTTAGCTCCTAAACCCACGCTCAGCATCCAACTATACTGGCTGTCAATATTTTGCATTAAAAATAATCCCTTGGGCTGAAGTTGTAGGTCAGTGGTAGAGCACAAGCCTCACATGCATGAGGCACTGAGTTCGATCCTCAGCACCACATAAAAATAAATAAAGATATTGTGTCCATCTACAACTAAAAAAAATATTTAAAATATAAATATAAGGAGCTGGGGCTGTAGCTTAGTGGTAGAGTGCTTGCCTTGCATGTATGAGGCATTGGGTTCGATCCTCAGCTCCACATATAAATACATAAATAAATAATTATTTTTTTAAAAAATAAATAAATATAAAATAATATTATCCCCTTTATTACCAAAAGCATGCTATTTCTACTTTTATTTAGCATTCAGGGTTGTATGTATGCCTTTCCAAATAAGCTTTGGAGTCCTTCGGAGCTTTATATTCTAAACTTATAGTATTTGAGTGCACTATGTTTTGTACACTGTAAACATTTTACTTGTGATGGCTCTCCTCACCTCTGGAAAAACTTGGCAAGTAGCTTCCTGTTCTTAGCTACTCCAGCTTTGCGTCCACAGTGCGGAAAGTTAAAATAAATTCGATCAAACTCTCTGTCTTGTGGTTCAAAAGCATTTGCCAATTGGGTGCAGTCTACACAGAAACGTATCTCGGTACCTGGCAAAGGAAGTTTAGAGGCGCAGAATACAGATAGGAAAATGTCTTAAGATCAGGCAACAGGGAAAAAAAAAGAAAAAGAAAACAACTCCCAAACCCTCCAGGCTGCCATGCAAACCAGTCTTGGCCTAGCAACACACAAGGATTCCTGCGAAATAGTTAGGAAGCTCCAGAGCAATCCCCACATCCCCATCCCTTCCACTAAGAGGCGCAGGCGGATGGGCAGGGCTTCGCGGGGGCGGGGCTTCGCGGGAGGGCGGGTCTTGCTACCTCGCTCGCGCAAGCGCTGCAGATTCTCCCGGGCCACCGGATCCCGGGCCAACTCCGCCGGGTGCTGAAGGCAGGTGGCAGTGAGACAAACGCTAGAATCCAGGGTCTCGCTTAGAGCGGCGGCGAAGGAGAAATTCCCCTCCCCAACCAACAGGAGGCGCCGAGGGCCCATGGCCTTCACTGCTTCACCTCACGCATTCTCCGTGGCGCTCGTTTGACGTCACTTCCTTCACAGATTTCTGCCCGCTCCTTCCCCACCGGTCACTGTTTGATGACGCACCCACAGCGCCTGGTTGTCTTTGACAAACTAGTGCAGCGACTCCCTAGGAGGACTATGACCATGAAGGCAAAAGCGAGATATCCATCCATCTGTTCTCTCACCTCACCTCTCGGGAACATCAAAATGCCTTTTAGTTCTTGGATTGCCTTGAGCGACTTCGTCACACCTGCATGAGGTCACAAGCGCAGAGGGTTGAGTAATGAGTGCAAAAAGCGGGGTGGGGCTGAAGCCAAGAAGAGGTTGGGCTGTGTCCTGCAGGTTCCTGACTCAGATATTGTAACTGCCTTCATCTTGTCCAAATGGCTGCCTCCCATTTTCTCTGCTGCTCAGAATTTAACCAGGTGCTTCTATCTCCTACTTTCTATTCATTTAAGAAATATTGAGTGCCTATTATATGCCAGGCTACTGTGAGGGCGGTTCTATATGTGGGTGGACAAGATGTGGCCTAGTGGAGAATACACACAGCAGAAGAGGCAGCTCAGATCGCGGGGTATGTGCTTTGAGTGTAGTAATTTAGGGTTCCATGGAAGCACAAAAGAGAACCTTACAAAGTTTGGAGGCAATTTTCCTGAAGTGAATCTGAGTTGAAAGCTAATAGGAGGCGTCGGGGGAGACTTGCCTGCATCCAAAGCAGTGATGAGACAGAAGCAACAATGTATGCAAAAGCAAAATGATTGAGTTTGTCTGAAACAGTTGAGGTGAGTGGGTAACATGAGACTGAAGAATTAAGCAGGGGCTAGGTCATATAGAGTGGTTGTTGTAAGCCATTTTAACAGCCTGAACCTTATTCTGAAAACAGAAAGCCACTGAAAGATTTTAAATAGGAAGATAGACACAATAAGACTTTTGTTTTCAAAAATTTTGCTTTCTAGGGGCTGTGGCTGTGGCTCAGTGGTAGAGCGCTTGCCTAGCAAGTACAAAGCCTCGGGTTCGATCCTCAGCACCACATAAGAATAAATAAAATAAAAGTATTGTGTCAAACTAAAAAAATAAAAAATAAAAATTCTTTCTAGACTGGAGTTGTGGCTCAGTGGTAGAGCACTTGCCTAGCATGTGTGAGGGCACTGGGTTCGATCCTCAGCACCACATAAAAATCAATAAGTAAATATGAAGGTATTCCCATCTACAACTAAAAATATTTTTTAAAAAATCCACTTTCCTGTGGAGAAAGGATTGGAGAGAAACAAAGTTGATAGCAAGGAAATCAAATAAAAGGCTACCACAGCAATGGAAACAAAGACTGACAGTGACCTGAGTTGAAACTTGGCAGTGAAAATAGAGAGTAGTGGACTGACTCAAAAATCGGCAAGACTTAAGTGATTTGATGAATTCTGAAAGAGAAGTCTCAGGCTTCTGACTTGGACAGCAGTGGATGGCAATGTCTCATTTCAGCCCTAAGGACAGCATCACCTAGTTCTCCAATCTAAGCATTAGGCCTATTGGACTATGTGGGACCTGCTGCTCTAGTCATCATACTGTTTGGTGACATCATTGTATGCATCTGTCTTCACAAAGGCACTTGGTGTGAAGGCAGTTATCTGAGATGCCACCCTTTAATGCTGCCATACTTGCTTTTTCTCTGCCTGCCAAAAGGCAGCTGGGTCGTGGCTCCAAAATCATGACCATGTGGTCATAGTGATCTATATTCTTTTTTTTCCTTGGAAAATTGGGAATACCAGGTTTGCTGACATATTCCCAACAGACATGGAACAACCACATAAGGATTACTGTAACTCTTTTAAATTTTTAAAGAAGTTAGTCTCTTCGAGCTCTTCTTCAGAGAAGGTATTGCATTGTTCCTAAGCCAGGGGACTAATTTTTTTGGCAAGAAAAAAAAAAAGGTTGCACTTCTCCTTCCTTACCAAAAAAATGAAATTCGGATATTGATCTTCTAGTATATGCTAAGTGCTATTGATTGGGAGGGCAGGCAGAGGAACAGGGTACAATAATGAATAAAACAGACCCTATGCTCAAGGACCATATAGTTCAGTAGGGGAGATAACACATATACTTGAAGAACTATAATGTGATAGGAAGATATAATACAGTGAAAGAGGCAAAGATAAAGTTGTATATGAGATAAAAGGAAAGAGAAGTTAACTTCAGGGAAAGCATTCTTTGAGTGGGCCTAGAAGGAAGGAATTTATCATCACCTGATAATTGTGTTATCTGGTTATTCAATTCTTATTTCTTCTCGTTCTCTGTCTGCATCAATACCCTCAGTCTCTCAACTTCTTTTTTTTAAATTTCTTTAAGTTGATGGAATTTTATTTTTTAAAATTTATTTTTATGTGATGCTGATGGTCGAACCCAGTGCCTTACTCATGCTAGGCAAGCGCTGTACCACTGAACCACAACCCCAGCCCCAGTCCCTCAACTTCTACATCTCAAAATTACCAAGATATTCAGTGAATTCTCCATATAGTATTGGGAATACTGAAGGTTTTCCTGTCTTTTCAAGGTGAGGGTGGCATTTATATAGTCATCCAGTGCTGATTTGAGAGGATAGGTTCAGGGATTGATGGACCTGGAGAGGAAGAAACATCAATTTAATTTGAAGGAAAACCTCGAGTATTAGAAAGGTGGACTTATGTTATATCCTGCTATATAAAGCAGAGGAGGATAGAAAGGGATGACTTTTCTGTCCTCTGGTTTATGCAATAAGCTTTTCTATTCTTGTTTTTTTCCAGGGAAAGAACCTTGTCTGTGTCCTCATCAATCCACACTGTGGCAGCCTCATTAATGCAGATGGCCATGGCGAAGTGTGGACAGATTGGAATGATATATCAAAATTTTTCCAATATGGATGGAGATGTTCCACTAATGAAAATTCCTATTCAAACCGTACCCTGGTAGGCAACTGGAACCAAGAAAGATATGACATAAGAAATATTGTACAGCCCAAACCTTTGCCTTCCCAGGTAATCTTTCTCTCTTATTTCCTTCTGTTTGCAGAAGAAAATTCCAATGGCCATTTGAGAGGCAGGAATCTGATAACTTCTCAGGTTTCCATTCAGTAAAAAAAAATGATTGGGGGAGGGGAGCAGTCTTAAGCTGGACCACCTATCCAACTTTACTATCAAGAGGAATATTATGTGTAAGGTATCAACCAGATGGGTAGTACACTTTTTCTGTTGTTTCTGTTTGGAATTCATCTGTTAATCCATCTGGACTTGACTTTTATTTGAATCTTGCCTTTAAATATCTCCTAAACATACAAAGGATATGAAAGCTAGTAGGATGGGGATAACAACATGTAGGCCTCTAGGCTATCTCAAATATGACAGAGCCCATTAGAATTCATATTATATTATCCTTTATTTTCCAATATTAGCTATAGACTCCTAGATTCTTAATCTATGAATTTTTCTTTTCCAGTTTGGACACTACTTTGAAACAACATATGATACAAGCTACAACAGCAAAATACCACTTTCAACCCATAGTAGGTGGACTAGTTTTTTAATTCTTACATTCTCAGAACTGTACTGTGTCTGGCACATAGAAGGAACTGAAATAAACAGTAAACTAAATGGGTGAATAATTGAACACTTTCTCTCTTTTCTCAACTTTTGACAGGTCTTGATGTCTATTCACTCAAATAAGAGTGAAAAATCGGTTAAAACTCCTTGTTGACTGTTTCCATTTGTCTTTCCTTCCCTCAGGATTTAAGCGAGAGCCTCATTGGTTCCCAGGACATCAACCTGAACTGAATCCTTCTCAATACAAATGCACAGAAAAGTCAGTTTACATGACTGACTATTCTAAACCTCAAATCAAGCATCACTCTCCATGTGTATGGAATCCTAATATTGACCAATTTCAGGGTCCAAGATGATAAGAAAGAATAAGAACTTTCAATTTTCCAGAATAAAATGTAAGAGGGAGCACATTCTAAAACTCAGCTCACCCTAACACAGTTTTACTCTTTGATTAAATAAAGCACAAGACACAGAAAATATCCTCTTTTTTTCTTTTAATCATTTAAATGTCATTTAAGTTAATTTTATCTATTTTTTGTTCTGTATCAGAAGTGTTGTGGAAGGCATTAAAAATAGCTATTTTCTCGGGCTAGGGCTGGGGCTCAGCAGTAGTGTACTTTCCTGGTGTGAATGAGGAACTGGGTTTGATTCTCAATATTGCATGTAAATAAATAAAGGTTTATCAACAACTAAAAAAAATTTTTTTAAATAGATATGTCTCTGAAATCTTTACCACTTTGCATTTGATCAGTGACAGAACTGCAAAATCTAGTAAAACAGGTTTTTGCTGGATATTTTCTCAATATAAGTCTGGTAGTAATAGTCATGGAGCATAATTGTCTTGTGACCTTAATGAACAGCCCCTGTTGAGGACTGTGAAAAGAAGAATAACTTTTTAAAATTATTACAAAGAATTTAAAATATAAACAAAAGTAGACTGAATAGCCTAATGACCTCCCATGTAACATTATGCAGTATCAACAATTTAATGAGTAATCTCTCTACCTACTTTCTTCTTCATTGAATTTATTTTGGAGCACATCTGAGAAATATACTTTCATCTATAATGATTTCAGTATATATCTCAAAAAACCCTGTAAATTGTCAATTGATCAAATAAAGCTGAGCTTATTAAACCTACTGGAGCAAGGAAGAACATCAACTTGATGCAGAGTCTTGATAACAGTTAAAAAGGGAGGTGTTTGAGTAGGACACTGGTTTAAGATGGATCTTTCAAAGCAGAAAACTGATAGAGGGACTAAGAAAAGGTTGTAAATCTTTAGAGTTGGTAAACTTAGGGAGTCAATAATCTTTAATATGGTTAAACTTATCATTATTTCCTCTTTATCTTCTGGTTAAGAAGATAATATACTGGGGCTGAGATTGTGGCTCAGTGGTAAAGCACTCACCTAGCATGTGTGAGACCCTGGGTTTGATCCTCAGCACTACATAAAAAAAAGATATTGTGTCCAATTACAACTAAAATATTTTTAAATTTTTTTTTAAAAAAGATAATATACTGGGGGCTGGGGCTGTAGCT